ATCATCTACAACAATATCATTATCTTCTCCAATTTCAGTTAACTGTTTCTCTACTTCAATTTGATTGTTTTGTGATTGGGAGATATCTTCTTCTTGATATTTCATTGCAACCGTCACCTCAATTCTATTCCTTTCATAAGAACCGCTAAGCATGTCAGCTACATCTACATCAGTTGAAATCAATTTATAATTCTTCGGTGACGTCCCATTAACATGATAGTGTAAGTCGAAAGGTTGACTGCGAATCCAATGGCAGAGTCCTTGAACTCGTTCTTTTAACAAAATTAAATTGATTTCATATCTGTGAAGCTTTAAGGTTTTCTGCTTTCCACCCACATACTTTGTTCGACTCTGACCATGCACTTCAATCCAATATCCACCAAATTTTAGGATAATGAAGCAGAAATTACTCATATCCATCTCTGTTTTAGTGAATAAAAAGTGATTTAGTAACAATCTAAAAAATGGAATAAATGGATTAAAATGTAGACGCCATTACCCGAAATATGCATCTCAGTTTGTCGCAGAAAATATTAGTTCTACTGTTGTATTAGATGTCAGACAGCTTGAAGCAATTGTTTTTCAAAGTGATAAACCTGAGATGAAAAATGATAAACCTGAGATGAAAAATTAGTTTTTCAAATTGATGCAGAAATTTTTTTTCTCAATTTGATGAACCCAAAACGAATCGTTTTTCTTCTCTAAGCAACATAAATTTTTTTTTTCAATTTGATAAACCCAAAACGAATCGCTCTGCTTTCGTTTATCAAAGACTGAGACCATCGCTGTTTTTCTTCTCTAAGCAACAATGGAAGATTACATTCAAAACTTTGCACCTGAGAGCCTTCACGCAGAAGAAAAATGCGTCTTTGAACAACGCGTCGTTGAAGCAGAGCGCGTAGATGGCGTATTTTGGCAGAGGCGAGGCGAGGCGACGAACGGGCGATGTTTTGGGAGCAAATTATCACGCGGGAAATATAAGCGGCTCAACGTAGATGGAGTATTTTAACGGAGAAGACGGGGACGGGATACGTCTATTTTGGTGGTAGAAATGTAAAAAGTTAAGTTTGGGTGTGAGATAAGTAAATAGCTATGTTTAAGATGTTATGTATGTAAAATTCCCTATTATTTATTACATCATCTGGTTCGATCCCGGTTCGACCGGTCGAACCTTAAACCTCTCATTCTTCCAGTTCGTTGTCTGATCCGGTTTTCACAACCTTATTTATGCTACTTTTTTTATATTCTTAGTTATGTTTTTTTTCCAACATAGAATATGTAAGATTATGAATTATATGTTCTTCTTGGGTTTATGTTCCTACTTAGGGCTTCTTTAAAATAATTGTTTGATTGTTTTGTTTTTCAAGTAGTAATAATAATCTTATTGGCTATTTTTTTTTTTCTCATTATTTTTAAAATTTTTTTATGAAATGTTATTATCTAAGATCATGATAAAGAAATTATGTTATGAACACGTGCGGAGTCCGGACATATAAAATCGTTCAGTTTTGTGAATGTGAATAGTAAAAGTTAAGTTATTTTTCACCCCCTATTTTTTTATTATTCAGTCATTAAATTAAATGGTTCTCTATTTTGAACTCTGTACATAATATATTAAAAATTTATTGTCTGTAAGTGTTTGTCTTCATCTTATTCTTTACTTTCAGTTGATTTTCTTTGTACATTTCCTATTATCTGTGCTATAATAATAGCTAACTGCATCATACTTTTTGATTGCACTGGAGTTGTACTATGTTGCTCATTTAGTACATTTGACTTTAGATGATTCATTCAACTTTTTACGTGCACAGTTTCGTATGATTTAAATAATACAAAATGCAGTTATGTATCAAAATAATATACCTGAAATTATTCATTATATCCAACTCAATCAATTCTTACGACTTTAATAACAATTAATTCTTTCAACAACTATGCTCTGATCTTAATTGTGATGTTCCAAAATTTATATTAGAAGAATTATTTTTTTTTAATCTTTAAATAAACAACTAGAGCTATTTAATATCATCTATCAATAATAAATAACATAAATATATTCTATAACTCAAAACATTAATATACACATATATGTTCATTATCAAAAATCATATACACTATTTAAGATTTACACAATCATAACATATGTATTATAACCTAAGTATAAAAGAATATCTGAAATAAAAAGAATCTAAAGAATCTTGATTAGTCTCATATTTCCTACTCTCTTATCATGGCCTGAAATTATTTAGTCATTATAATGAGCTAAAAATTCTAACATGTCATCAAAATCTATAACTAATTCAAAATATAACAAATGAGTAATATGTATGTCAATAGTCAAATCATAACAGTTAAATTCATATAATTATTGAATCAGTGAAAAAACAGTAAAATTCATATGTAGTAATAGTAAAATCTATAAATAATAAAACATTATAATATGAAAGTCAGTAAAACATAAACCAATATGAGTGTCAAATTTATAAAACAATCATCGTATCCATAATACCAATCAATATAGAAATCGTATAAAACATCAAATCAAAATATCAGTAAAGATTATTGAAATAAAATTAATATTGTAAAATCATATTAAAATGTGAACTTGTTATCAAATTATTCTATATTAGTATTAAATCAGTATATTACATGTTCAGTATATTATAAAAAAGGACCTTATTATTCACGAAATTAAGAGGTAGAAGCACGGGGCCAAAAGATTTAAATAGGAGCTAATACAAATTAGCAAATTCTAGATTCTGTAGAAACCGGAAATTATTCCTCCGCTTTTCAATAAATGCATAACAAGGAATTCTGATTTTTTAATAATTAGGAGGTTAATTAAATTGTTAATTTGATTTATAATTTTTCCTCGCATTCCCTCATGAAATTATTGGCCCTTGATCCCAAATCAACTTTTTTTTTCTTTTCACCACAATTTCTCCTCAATCATTTAAGTTTCCCTCAATTATTTGGCTGTTTATCCCCCTGTTCGCTCTTAAAAAATCTTAATAATAATAGGTGTGAACCTTACTCTCAAGAATTTAAGTTTCCCTTTAATTCTCCTAGAGTTATATTGAGTTTAATATTTAATCAAATTTCCTTTGAGAGTAGTATTAGAGTTTATTTAGATATGAGATCTACTTCATATGAGCAAAAGCCCTCAAGTTAATTATATCTCCTAGTGCACTAGGATATCATGTTGGGAAATTTCTATATGTGGGCCAATATATTTTATACATATAAATAAAGAATTATACATTAGACGCTATCTAAAATTAAGCCAATTAAATTTGTGATCTAATTGAGTATTAAATTATTATTTGGCTTATGTGGCATCTCAATTAATTATGTATGGAATTAATTTGTGTAGAGGCCGGGTATTTATTTTATTTTTATGATGGGCTGAAATAAAATATTTACATTTAAAGTATATAAGGGTCATGGTCCCCAGTTTAAGCGATTAAGTTCTCATTTTCACTCATTTCCCATCTTGAGTGAAAAGAAGGGGTCTCTCACTCTCTTGGTGAACGCCGCTCTAAACGTGGAAGATCGAAAGACCTTGATTTTGCACTTCAATGGATTCAGGTACGCTTCCAAAAATTCTTCTCGATGATTTGGCATGTCGTTCGGAGACGATCGATTTGTTATTTTCTTCTCCGTTAAATCCTAACAAGTGGTATCAGAGCTCGGTTGTCATGTTGAATCAAAGAGAAATTATTTTCATTGATTAATTCATTGATTGTTTGAGTTTTTTTTTTTTTTATCAAAAGAATTTTTGTTTGAAGAGTTCTTTCTTTTGGAAATTATGTTTCATATATGTGAAATAACTGTTGACTGAAGTTCCTTGTTCCATTGATTTTTGAACAATGGATTCAGTAATCAAATGTGCTCTTTAATCGATGGATTTCGATTATGCAATTGGTTCTTCTTCTCCGTAAAACATGTCAGTTATTTTTTGGCTTTATTTTCCAAACGTCACAACCATTAGGTGAAGAGTTCCTATGTTAATTTTTTACGTTGCAGTTATAATATAACTTCCATTGTTATTACTTTTAATAGTTCTGCAATTTTGCAAATGAATTATTTAGTTCATGGAAGTATTTGAATAGACGCATCTATTGGCTACTTTAACGTCTCATTTAAATTTTGACGTTTCTAATGTAAATGTTAATTATTTAACGCATAGCTGGCTAGTTCAAGCCGGAATTGAAAATGAGCCTATACTTTTATAACTTCTTGTTCCTTAATAAAGTTTTCTAGAACTTTGATGCTTTGTAAATCGATACAAGCCATTAGTAATTAATTCATTATTTCTCCATATTATATTTCCTGTATTAGATTGAGTGGCTTTTTGATTTCTTCTTGCAATAAATAGGAGATGCTTATCTTATTTTATGAGAATATTTCTCATTTGACATAATTGTTCATTAATTCAAAATTAAATTAAATTGAAATAATATGTCACCAAAGTGACCTCTATTAAATCAATTTATTTAATTTAAAATTAATTGAATAATGCTAAAGAATTCTTCTAGTCTATGCGAAAAATCATCGGCCCAAAATAGCTGTAGAAAATTCTTCTCGATGATTTGGCATGTCG